GTTTTCAAACTAATATAAGAGGCATTGCATGTATCTCTAGGAAACCTATTGACATATCCATTTGTGATAGAGGTTGTGGTGAAGAACACCATTGTCTTGAAAGGTGTACATTGCTTCATAAATTTCAAATTTATTATAATAGCTTTATTTTGATTATTTATTTTTTAATATACTTTTTTTTATATTTTAAAATTTTAATTATGTTAAATAAAAAAAAAAAACACCTGGAATGAGGCATGAGCATCATGCTATTTAATTAAAAGCTTCATCTTAATTGACAAAACTATATTACATTTCAAATTTTTTTCATACACCTTAAATAGAGATGTTTCATAATTATAAGGGTAGTATGAATTTTTTTTTCTTTAAATAGGCAAAACAAAAAAGAAAAAGTTTAATTAAGAGCTTTATCTTAGCTAACAAAATTCAACCATTTTATAATTAGGATTTTTTTTTCATACATGCTTGATAGGGGTATTTCATGGTCATAAAAATAGTAATAGATTTTCTTCTTAAGATAGTGATTCATCAATTAAAGTAATTTTGTCATTATGATTCGAATTAACATAATGCATTAATCTAAATTTTTGAAGTTTAGTTTAGTCACTTAACTTTTCACTGAAGACATATAAGAATGCTAACTTATCATCTCCTTAATTAAATTATTACTTGCCAAGTTAAGTTAAATCAATATTATCAATTTTAAACCTGATTTTAAAGCTCGAGTCATTCAAATTTAACATTTTTATTTTATAAATATAAATAATTTTTTTATATCAAATATAGACATTCAATTTTTTTCTCTCTTTTTAAAATTTTTTTCTTTTCTCTCTTTACAAATACTAAAAAAAACTTTGAATGTTTCTTCAAATCGTTCATCAACTTTGTGATTTTATATTTTTTTACGTCGTCAAAACAACTCGGCACAAACTAACACCTAAATCTGGAAATTGACAATGATAGCAAAATAGTGTAACCAATTTCAAACATTATCCACTCTAAATGAGGGTTTCTCTCCCGAAGCCCTGCCCAGCTAATCAATAAATAATTGAGTAGCCACAGCTGAAGGACCCACAACCACAATCTCTAGCTTATACGGCTCCTAATTGCACGTCATGCTTCTCTTGCCCTTTCTAATTGCTTTTTACAAACTCAGACTAAGGTGGACATTTCCACCTTTATGCTAGTTATCGGGTATTAAGTTTAATAACAATAATAATAATAATAATAATAATAATAATAATAATAATAATATATTATTATTATTATTATTATTATTATTATTTGAACTTAATAAAAAATCATTCTCTTTAAAAAACTTTATATTATGTTTTTATACCGGTACAAGTTATACTAGTAAATATATGCTATTATCTAATATATATGATATAAAATATTTTATTATTTATGTATTTTTATTATATAAAATATAAAATTTATATATTTATATTATATTTTATATAAAAATTATGTTTATAATTTATGTTAACAAAGAAATATAAAATATATGTTTTTTATTTTTTAAATTTATATATAATTATTATTAAAATTTTCAATTGTATTATTTTTTATTATTTTTTATCACATTATAATATGATATTTGAAATTATTATATCTAAATCTGCAAAAATTATGACAACTATAAGAGTTCAAAACCCAACGTTCAAGTGATCTTTACAAAAATTATTTATAGATAGGTAAGAGATGCTAAAAGAATAAAACAAACAAGAAAAGAAAGGATTGACTTTGTATTGGTGATGAGGTGGTGAGAGATGAAAGAACGAAAGAAAAAAAACACATTGCCAATAGAGATGAAAAGTGCAGTGTAGGCGGCGTCTAGAAGACAAGAAGATTGCCTTTTTTTTCAATAGATGGTTAGGGTTATTACAGTAGAAATCGGGTCAGGATTTAAGGGCCCTGCACACCAAATTAACTTTTGCTCCAACAATTGCCAAAGCTGTTGCATACATTTTTGTTCAACCATTATTATAATTATTATAAAAATTAAATCAAAATTATATATTAACGTGAAAAAATGCAAATTAGTAAATATTATAATTTTTAAAATTTATATTTACATTAAACCTATAAATATATAAGATAAAAAAGTTTATATATTAAAATAAAAATTTTAATAAAAAATTTAGAAATGGATTATATAAAAAAACAAATTAAAATATTAATAAATTTAAAATTATACGTCAAACCATACCGATATCATACCTACATGTACGAAAATAAAATTGACTGAATATTGTATTGCCGATACAGTACTCATCTCTTTTCCTTGTCCTCTGAAATTTAACTCAAGTTGTTACTTTTGAGCCGTAAAATAGGTAAATGATACGTCTCTCTTTCCTCCCAGTCTCTCCCCCAATGGGCCCATGGCTCCCTTCAAAATTTGAGGTCCAATATTTTGACACATGATGTTGTAAGTTCCTGCACAATGATTTTATATCACTTATAATTATTATTATCATATAATTAATTAATTAATTAAAATTTATTTAGGATTTATTAAAATATTATATGAAATTTATATTTATAAATAATTAATTTTTGTATATTTTTTTATTATAAATAAATAATTATAAAATTATAATAAAAATATTATAAATGGAATGCTCTTTTGCACAATCACCAACCGTTCGGCTTTGAAGATTCTCACTTAGAATAAACCCAATCAATCAGAACTTGCCTTTGTAATTGCCACGAACAAGTTGTAAATATGAAACAATCTTTAATACTAGGATTTACAACTAGAATTAAAATAAAGATTTTAATAACGAGAATTTTGAGTCTATTATTAAAAATTATTATTTTAAAAAATATTTTTTAATATATTAAAACTATCATTTTAATATTATATTTAACATAAAATTATTATTACAAATAATATGTTAATTATTTTTAAATAATCCTTTCTTAAGATCCTTAAGACAAAATCACTTCCACGACTGCAATTATTAATTATTGTATCCAATAGAAAAGTATTGTTACAAATAATATATTGACGAAACTCAAATAACCTGTTAGCAAAATCTTGGGATAAAATCACTTATGTCGACTGCCATTATCTCACGTGGATCCCACAATCATCAACGTAAGCATCCTACACGTCACTCGGTCACTGTGGAAGTAACTTATCCACCCAGTTTACCGTTTCTCTCGAAAAAATAACATTTATGTACATATATTCCTTTTATTTAATGGAGAGGGATAAGTTATATTAAAAAATTTTATTTTTATATATTTTTTAATTACTAATTTAATAAATTAAAAATAAATAAATAATTGTTTTATTTTATTTCTTAAATTTATTAAAATTAATAACTAAAAATATAAATTTATTATTACAAGTTGATGTCTGTCTTTATATAAATTATATCATATAATCATATCATTAAAAAATATTTATTATTTATTATTTATTATATATCATATATGATAATTAAATAATTAATTTTAATTTTAATAAATTTATTAATTATTTAGTAATAAAATAATTAATTTTTTAATAATACATTTATATATATAATTTAAACAAAAAATAATATTATTATAACCTACCTATTTCATACTATATGCTCGGCAATGTTTCCATTTTTTATTTTTTATTTATTGAAAATTATAAACAAAAATATGTTTGTAAATTGTTTTTACTTTTTATTTTTGAAAATTGAAAACAAATTTTAAAAAATTTTAAAAATTATTGTAAAAACAATTTTTTTTAAATTTTTAAAAACAATTTTGATATTATTATCGCATGAGCACTGTTCACTCATTTGACTATAGTACCACTCAATACTGTTACAATTCAAAATTTTTGTTTTTATTAAATTTAAACCTCTCTCATTTAAAATATAAAAATTTTAACCACTTTTTTTTATATATTTTTATTTTTATCTAAAATAAAAATAAAATTATTCTATCTAAATATATTTTCAAATTTAATAAATTAAAAATAAAAAATAATTTTCAAAAATATAAACATAAAATACACACCATTGTCAAGCGACCCGTAATTCTTTTCTATTCAATTTGAGGGGTTTTTTTTTTTTTTTCTTAAGCTAGGAATCTGCTGATTATCATCAATTTTCCTGCTTAGATTACATTTTTTGGCTTCGCTTCACTCCCATCACGCCCTTCAATTGACCCGTTCCTAACAACCCCCAGCAAACAATCTTTAGTTTCAATCACGCTTTCGGGAAAGGGCGTGAGAGAAGTTTTGGAGTAAAAAAAAAAAATCTATAGGTACACAAATGTTGATAGGTGATTGCACCGAAACAAACAGTATGATCCACGACACGGCTTCTGTTTGAGGTGCGCTTCAAGGACAGCGTTAAGGACACGCGTCGCTTTCTCCATGGCTGTGTTTCTGGTCTCTTTTCTTTCTTAACTGTCGGTGTGAAAAGATCGTTGCGGAGCTTGTTATAGACAGTGACGTTGCAGATGATACAAAACTAAAAGCACCGAAGAAGATGGGTTTTTCCCTCACTTTTGCAAAAGGATCGTGCTCAACACGCCTCCACATTAATCAGTGACTAATCTTATAATCTAGTATATTATTATAAATTTAAAATTAAATGCTTAACATTCCCAATCAATTTTTATTAGTATGATTTTTAGTTACATTTTATTATGATTCCTAAACATAATCAATAACACAAAAATTAAAATTATCATGTTCTAGGCTAGATTTATTATTTATTAATTTAAATTGCTTTTAACATTAATGCAAACAATGCAGTGAGAGAACGATATGGGCCTTGCTCATGGCGGAACTTAGTGGAAAGTGGAATCCACTCAAACGAAATAAAGCATGCAAAGACGTGAAGGCAAAAGCCGGCAAAACCTCAACACCACGCAGTTTGACTCGAAATTCCCGCGTGACACGTACCCCAGACAAAGTTATCATACTGTCTCCTCACTTAGGCGGCGCCTCAGTCAAACCCCTTGTTGACTGTGCATCCCCTAACTCTATATAAGACTACCACACGTTTTTGTCTCTGCAAGCAAATTACAGCTAAAAGAGAAGGAAAAACAGTAATTATAGTTATTGTAATGGCTCCCAAAGACAACAATGCAGCCCAAATCTCGAAGAAAGGAAATGTTAATGGAAATATTAAGAGCAATGAGGTGCATTATAGGGGAGTAAGGAAGAGACCATGGGGTAGATACGCTGCTGAAATCAGAGATCCCGGCAAAAAAAGCCGCGTTTGGCTCGGTACTTTTGATACAGCAGAAGACGCTGCCAGAGCCTACGATGCGGCGGCGCGTGAGTTTCGTGGACCTAAGGCTAAGACCAACTTTCCATTACCAGATGAAACGAACAGCTACATAGGTAACAAGGGCCAGAACCAGCAGAGTCCAAGCCAAAGCAGCACCGTCGAGGAATCCTCCAGCCCAACGGTGGAACGTGAGCTCAAGCGTGGAGGCAACAGTGTGACTGGGGTTGTTGGCAGATTTCCTTTCGCGTGCCATCAGCAGCTGGCTCTGGGTGGTGGCGGTAGGATGGGCAGGGTGGCTCACGCCCGGCCTGTTCTGTTTTTTGATGCATTAGGGAGAGCTGAGGTTGTAAGTCAGGTTTATCCGGTTCAGTATGAACCGGTTGGAGTTCAGCTGAGTATGGGATTCGGAGGTGGGGTTCAATTTGAATCCGACTCTTCATCGGTCATTGATCGTAAGCTAAGGATGACTGGCCCTCTCCTCGATCTTAATCTTCCCCCGCCAGTGGATGCTTGATGGCTAATAGCTGTTTTACGGCAAATATTTTCGTGTCCGCTTTTTCTCCTTAATTTTCAGCGTGAGAGGTACGGAGCTTTGAAAAAAAATAAGGAAAAAAAAAAAGAGAAAAAGCTGATGAACCTTTTTAGCCTTGGTTTATCTTTAATATGATGTAAATAATTTAGGATAGCGATATCTGTTTTTTTGCAACTGAGGGGAAAAAATATTCTTTCTCTTAGCTGTTTTTGTTATAGCCTCTCATTCAAATAAACTAACCTCTATTGTTTCTTTTCAATGAAAATGAAGTATCAAATCTCTGTTACTTATTGCTAATCCGCTCTCTTATTTTGCTTTGGTTTAGCCCGCCTTCAACGTACTTGCTTTATCACATGATGGTAGTACTATTATTTTATGAACTCAATCAAAAGGCTTTGATTCCTTTTCTCTGGATACTTAACCCAATGACTGATTCGGTGTTAAACGGTTCCTTCACCGACAAGAGACGAGAGTAACTCAGAACTTATCCTACTAATTGATCGGAACAGTTGTAGTTTATTTTTGTTCTCATGTACTTTTACCTACACATGAATAATGATAAACAGCATGTGCAACACTGAATAAGAGTAAAATCAGCAACGATTTGGCGAACAATATGCCCGACCGACAACGAAAAGAGTAAAAATAAGTAAGTTAGTAATTTAATTTAATTATTAAAATCACGAGAGTAGAAGCAGGCCGCTTAAGAAGAATACCGTGTTGACGGGGCACATTTCGTGATTGTGATTATGGTAGCTGGCACATGTACTTAGTTTGTTAATTTCGTGTTAAAACAGGTTTTTGAAGTACAAGTTTGTTTATAGCTGTTGGAAGGAGAGGAATGGCAGCGGTAGTGGAACCTGATTGGGAAAAGGGTCCCACGCTGGACACTGAAAAGCAGGCCCACGTTTTGATTTGAAAACGTTGTCCCTTTCCCGTGGGCCCCGCTCTTCGTCGGCGGAATCTGTGGAGAGATTTTCGCGCTCTGTTTCTTAAACGGTTGTGCAGTAACGTACGACGCCATACTTCACGCGCTACTCATCAAAATGCATTCTTTAAATATTTTATTTTTATTAAATTTAATGAAAGTAATTAATAATATAAAAAGTTTTTAAATAATATTTTTATTAACTTTAATAAGTATTTATAAACACAATTCATTGTTTTTTTAATTTACTTTAAGGAGATAAGAAGTGGATTTGCATTTTTTTTTTTTGTTCGAGCAGTAGGCGCGTGGGATGGAGCAGTGACAGAGGACATTGGCAGCAAGTGAAGGGGATGAGTACGGTGCACGGAAGTCGGAGCGACAGTGCGACGTGTCGACATGTTGACGAGTCAGAGGCTCATAAAGCTTGGCCGCCGCTGTTGCCTTTTTTCGGTCATTTTCTCGGTTAGTTGTGCAGTGGGGACGCTCCCTTGCTTTCCTGTTGGATGACTACGTACCACGTGTCTTGGGCACGTCAACTCAACCGTCAATATTTACAAAAGAGGGCAAAGTGTGCTGGGCGGCTACTGCTAAGTGCTAAAAACACCGTCCCTTTCTTAACTCGATGCTGGGGGGTGTAGCGTGTGGGTTCTCGTGGCCCTATGAGGTGCCGCCGCATTTGTGGCGCAGGAGGCTTCTGGGCCAAACTACTATACTAACTGTGGGTGGTGATTCGTAAATTCATGGGGCTTTTGAAAGTCGGTGCTTCTCTTGGAAACTGCTAATACCATCTACGTCGACCGGGTAAATGACTATTTTCATGTGGTTTTAATATAAAAAAAGGAATGAAAGTATATAATACTACAAAATTAAAATGTACAGACTTTTTGAACTTTGTTCATCAAATGACTTGAAAGTTTACATCAAGCTTCATTCCAATACCTCTGTTATTGAATGTTGCTTAATTAATAATTTGCATTTTTTTTCTTCATTAGATGGGAAATAGAAGATAAATATTGTGGGATTTGAATATTTATTTTATATATTTTATAAAACTTTTTTTATCTATTAGACCAATAAATTAAAGATGAATTTGCATTTTTTTTACTAAAATCAAATAATTAACATAAAATTTTCCTTTCATGTGTTTTATTTTTTTTAATATTTAACGTTTATATACAAATTATATAACAGTACAAATTTATTTTTAAAGTAAACTTTATTAAATATATTGAGGATTTGGATGTCGTACCTGTTTCATGTATATAATTTGAGTGTTATTTGAAAATTTGTATACAAACTTAGAAAGTGAATAGTATAATAGAAGTAATGACGGATCTTGACATTTTATTTTGAAGAAATCAATTAAAATTATATATTTTTTATTTGTTATATAATTCAAACTCGAAGGTGAATGTCGTTATGTGTCTAATACAATATACATTTTTTTAACTTTTTTTTTTCATATTTAGACTGTTTAACTTTCGTATCTACATTTATTGTAGATATTTCGAACATAAGTATTTCAAGGAAAATGAAGAATCAAACAAGTAACATAGTTTATTTGAAATTTTATCAAATTAAAAGAAAAAAAAAAAAAAGAGAGAAAGTTCATAAAAAACTGCAATCAGGTAGAAAGAAAAATAATACACTTACACTTTTATATTTAAGTTAAAAACTTTTTTTTTAATTTAAACAAATGTGACTTAATATTTATTACTTCAAAGAATTTGTGAATAATAAATGTGGGTATAATAAATAAACAAATGATAGTATAATTTTAATTTGTGTTTAATCATAATATAAAATTAAGATAAAAATAAAATAAAATAAACAAATAACAATTTAATGTGAGAATCGATTAAATTTTAATTTAATATATATATATATAATAATTATAAATGTTAATATATATTAAAGGGTTGAAAAATACTAAGAGAAATTACTTATGTAATTGCCCTTATATACCTGCTTAGATAAAGAATCATACCAAAAATCACGTCTCAAATGCTCAAATCGGTTAGTTGATAAGTATGCAATTGCCTTTCTTTTGATTAATGTCTCATGCTAGCTTAATTTATCACGCGAATCACTATGTGCACTCTCAGCTCTAAATGACGTCTAGACCCTCACCTTCAAATTGAGCCTTAGTGCTTTTTAGTTTATCCTCTTCATTCTTCTATGGTTCTTGTTAACTCCTAACTATGTGTCTCTACCATGGACCTCAAACGTTTTCAAAATTTCGGAGGGGGGGGGGGGGGGGGGGTGGTTGGCCCCCGCATGCTCCCACGACGGTCTGCTATTAGATACGTGTATTTGAGTAAAAGTGTCGATTTTAGAGCCAGACATAATGTAGAGTTATCACTGTACTAGAAATGTGGACAAAATTTATATAAAAGTTTTATAAATGAAATTTATAAAATCTTTTATTACAAAAGAGTAAATAAAAGTTAAAATTGAAAATCAAAATCATTAAATTAAAAGATTTCGTTATATAGATCAAATGTATAAAATTTAAAAAGATTTTAATAAATTTTGATATATTTATTAAATTGACATTTTTAGTAAAAATATTAATAAAATTTTTATTATTAAATAAGTATTGATCAAATTTGAATCATAAATAATATTTTTAATTAATTTTTTACATATTATTAGTCTTCATATTAAACTCTATCAATCTAGTGATTTTAGTTTTTATTAAAATTTTTATTAAATTATTTTAAAGAAAAAATTTTACAAATTTTACTTAAATAACTTTATATAAATTTCGTACATAAAAATGTATTATAAAGGATAGCTAGGATCACAAAGTGATTTTGCATTTGAAAGGATTAAAGATACAAGTCACCTACCATTTATAGCCCCAAATACATGGATGCGGATTCTTTTACTAATTTCACCAGAAAATCAAGTTTTTGGTGGCTTATTGTTGACTGTGCTATTCTAATCCTCGCTCTTTCAAATCCAGGAAAGTAAATCCATTTTTTCAAAATCTTTGTTCTGTTACAAAATGCCCAGTAAGTTTAAAACGGGGTTGCTTAAGTTTTCAAAGAAGAAAATTTCTAAGAATAAAATGGTAGCTTTGATAATGACCATTGTACCTGAATTTGATTGTTATAAATTGTTGTTTGAAATGAAAATTTACTGTATGATTTAGAAATAGTTGAAAGAGTGAATTAATGGGATAATAGTTTTTAAAGACTTTTGTTTTTATGTTCAATTGAGCTGAAAATGAAGGTTTGAGTTGGATGAAAGAGTCAGGTTTTGGACCTTTAATTAATACTCCAGTGTATATCTTCTTATTGTATGATTATCCTCTGTTTCAACCATTTTTAGGGACTTGGGATTTAATCAGAGGATATTGCTAATATTGTTTTTAGTGTTATTAAGTCAAAAAGAGCTATAGGATTAAATGCCATTGTTATTAAGTTATTAAAAAAATTATCTTGGTTTTTGAAATCTAATTTGCATAAAGACTATGGTGCCTAATATACAGTTTAGTAGAAGTATGGATAGTTTCAATTAGTTAGTAAATAAAAATTAAAAAAGAAATTATTGACATTTTTATGAACCCTCAGAATTTTAATGTCTCTAAAATTAAAAATTTTTATAGTGCCTCTTATTGCAACTTATTCTCTTTGGGTGTTCTAAGCACAAAATACTAGGCGTTAACACCAAAATCCTATAAAACACTCAACAAAATAGTCTAGGGTTCTGTCTAGTTTCATTATACTGACCATAGTATTCATCACTTATGTTTAGCCTCATTGCCTTAATTTTGTATTTTTGAAAACTTAGTAGCAGGTTTAAAAAAAAAAAAACTTTAAGGCTTCTACATGATCAGACTTTTCACTTTAGATAATCGAAACCTGAATAGTTTTTTAGTGAGGGTGATAAAATGCCTAAATCCATTGAAAATAGTAAGTGGAAACAGTTCATAATTGTCACTATAGATCAGTTTCTAAATTTTTCTACATTTGCTAATCACAATCATATATTAGCAATGACATTTCTTTTAATGCAATCTATACATTTGCTAGATTTAGAATATTCCTAATGCTTATGTCACAACATGATAGACTTCTCATCTATTCTACCAATATTAAAACCAATAACCACATCATTTACAGTACGTACAACTAAAGAAGATCGTTCATATTCATAAATATCTTCCTTTTATTTGGTTTTCGATTGCTTACATATTACCAGATTTGGTGTATCAACACTAGCATAAGTAATCAACCATGAAAAGTAGAAGTCATGGTACTAGATTGGATTCAAACGAAAATGGCTAATAAAATGCCTTACTTCAAATAGAAAAAGCTAACTAAATGCTTTGCTTCACTTTCCAATCCAAAGAACTTTTATA